TCGCGGTACAGTGTGAGAAATATTGTTAGAAGATATAACGTAACCGGTTCAGTTAATTTTAAGTCACGATATGTGAAAAAAAGTAATATCACAAATGTCGACCGAAGAGCATTAAGAAGAATAATCGTGAAAAACAGGAATGCCAATTATTTACAATTAAGTGCTCTGTGGAGTGACACTGTTGGAAGGAGAATTTCGAGGTCCAAAACTCATAGAGAGGCCCACAAACTGGGATTTAGCACTTGCAATGTAAGTTTTCTTATGAAAAAAAAGTGATGTAAAAACCCTAAAGTTGCAAAACTTGTTTATAGGCCAAAGAAAAGCCACTATTAACTCCACTGCAAAAGAAAAATCGGCTTAGATGGGCTAAAGAACATAGACAATGGACACCTCAACAATGGTGTGCAATACAATGGAGTGATGAGGCCCGATTCTAATTTTGTGTTGGTGACAGTCGTAGTAGAGTTATTCGCAAAAAAAATGAAGCATTCTATGTTGACTGTCTGAAGAGAAAGTGAAATTTCCCGCATCCATCATGATCTGGGCAGTATGTCATCAAAAGGAGTAGGAAATCTTCATTTTATTGATGGAAATGTGGATACAAACAAGTATTTGGCAATTTTAGAAGAATCGCTTTTACCAGTGATGGAAGAATGTTTGAGATCCGGCCAAGATTTTGTGTTTCAGCAAGATGGTGCAGCGTGCCATACCTCAAAAAAGGCTATAAAATGGATGGAAGAAAATATTGTACCACTTTTGAAATGGGTTTCTAGCAGTCCAGATCTGTCACATATTGGAACTTTGAGGCACGAGATGAAAAAGGTTCTACGACAACATCTGGCTCGTACAATCACCGAACTGAGACAAAAGCTTCAAGAAATATGGGATTGTTTTACACCAAATTTTTGCCAAAAATTGGTTAACACTATGCCCCAAAGAATTTCAGCCGTAATAAAAAATAAAGGTGATGTTACCCAATGGTAATCTTTCAATTGTTGCTTTGTTAACTTCGCGCATTTACTCGCACATTGTTTATTTGTTCAGATGTTCTATTAGTTATAGGTCTAAGTGATTTCAAATATGTATTTTTTACGACTAGAGTGTATCTAAAATGTTTTTGAGAAAATAAATTGTTTTAGAAGTAAATAGTTTCGTCACGTTAGTTTATAAAGGCATATTTTGGTACAAATCTTGAAGTGGGCCAACTGAAGTAGGAAGGAGCTCGTAGTATATAAGCACATTTCATACATGATCGGTTATTCTGTTCTCCTTCGGTTCAAAGAAATATTTATAAGCTGAACACACATCTTCATCCCTATCTCAAGGCCAATTTGAGTAACGTAACGTGTCTATGGCATAAGAAATGCCTCGGATCTCAGTTTATGATTCCCTCCGTGCTAAACTGGCATGACCATAGCAATGACGACTATTATAACTCCGTACAGCTAATGACAAATGTACCGCAGTGCGGAGACAATGGCGTACAAGGAGTATCTTCAGACAGGTGCTGAAGTTAATAAGCCAGTCATTTAGCACCATTGCAAGCGACCACCTCGCACATTGTAGCAATGCGGTGGTGGTAGTGCTTTAAATCTCAACATTTCACGGCAGCTGGAGGCGGCAACTTGCCCAATTGCCATTACATTTCTCGTGTAAGCCGGTGTCCGCTAGACGGCAACAGGTCTCAGTGGGTAAGGTCAGATTGATGAGCAAATGAAGTGTTATGGTAGCGATACTTGGACAAGTTTGTGGGAAGAAATATTTTCTACATGACTGCTAATCCTCGGATTTTGATGAAGGGTTCATATAAAAAAGCGAAAAAATAACAATCGGTCAGACTTCGTTTCTTGACGTTTCAGAGGATCCTCATTATTTCCGGATACATTTTTGAAGGGGTTAAAAATTGGCGGCTGAGGGTTGTAGAGGGTAGGGGAGAGTATATCTGCATAATCTGGCGTTAATGTATACTAAGTGACATATAAATCCGAACACCCAGTTTAAATGGTTTTATTTTAATAAAATTTTGTATAAGTACTTAATAAAGCATAATAAGTAAATGATAAAAATTTCAAAATGATTGCACTGCTTGAAAGCCCTTTGACCTTTAATAATATGTGGATGCACCCTGATGTGCTACGCATTCTCCAACGCGCCTAGGCATGCTTCTGATCAGGTGGTCAATGTCCTCCTGTGGTATCTCATTCCAGGCAACCACCAACTCCTCTCGAAGTGCTTCTATAGTCTGAGGAGGACGTTGCAAATTGAGCAATCTCCTACCCATCATATCCCACACATGCTCAATTGGGGATAAGTCGGGAGATCTTGGTGGCCATGGTAACAATGTGACATCATTATGTTGAAAGAAGTCTATTGTGACTCTTGCAACATGTGGTCGGGCATTATCTTGTTGGAAAGTTGGATCTGCCAGGGTGTCAAGATAGGGTAAAAGATGGGGTTCTAGAACTTCGTGGATATAACGCTGCGCGTTCATGTTACCTCTGATGAAGATTAAAGGTGACCTGGAACCATAAGCTATAGCACCCCAAACCATAACTCCAACAGTGTGATGAACATATCTTTCAACAAAAAACTGTGGATTCCTCCTTCCACCACGTCGCCTTCTAACCTTGGCACGACCATCGTGCATGCCTAAACAAAATCGAGACTCGTCACTAAAGACAATACTGTTCCATTCCTGATCCCAGAGTGACCGTTGTCTGCACCACTCATTACGTCAGTGTTCTCGAGTTAAAGGGAGGACCCAGTGTGGCCGGTATGAAAACAAGCCAAAACTTCTCATTCGTCGGTAAACACTTCGCATGCCAATAGGTCTTCCGTGTTCTTCAAACCATTCATTTGCAATGGACCTGGTAGTGGAGAAACGGTCCCTTAAGGCCTATAATCTTAGGCGGCGATCTTCACGGTCTGTTGTTCTACGGCGGCGTCCAGTGCCCCTTGCTCTTTGCGTACGGCCTTCTCGAAGCCATGCCTGACACCTAACCACAGTGTCTACACTTCTTTGCACTCTAACTGCAATTGCCCGAAAAGAAAGTCCAGCTACCCGAAGTCCCACTATACGGCCCCTATCAAACTCACTAAGTTGACGAAATCGTACAGGTCTCCGTACTCTAGGCATCGTAACCGATCGTAAAGGATGTCAAGAACCAAAATCCGCCAACGTTGATTCTTTACTGCGGCTGAAATATTCATTTTTAGAGCGTTAGTGAATTAAAAAAAAAGCAGTATAAAAAGCGGAATGTCTAACTGATAATTCTGAACATTTTTTCACTTATTATTTACAGTAAGATAAATACATTCACCAACTTTTACTAAAATAAAACCATTTAAACTGGGTGTTCGGATTTATATGTCACTTAGTATATTTATACTTCTACGACCTACTAGACATATTCCACACATCTCAGATTTCCCCGTACATTTGACATCAGAACCTAGAATAATAGAGAAGTGTCTCCCGGTTCTGGCGAATCGATGCATTAGGGACATATCAAATGGTGAGGTACGATCTGCGGAGCAGGGAAAACGCCTATGGACCAATTGTAACTGGCTGTTTGACTGACTCAAATCATTTAGTTTCTTTGAATTTCTATACCGAAGCGGTCACGCGGGCAGAAACCTAATACCTGGGGGCACAGCGACTGCTATAAGGAACTTAAAAGCGCTTTTTTAAATACGACTTTTGAACTGCCTAAGGTTAACGCTACCCACCGTGATGAAATGCTGCAAGTATTACCGTGATTGGATGTGTAGTGGAGCGGTGATGGTTTTATCTCACATTGCGGGCAGAAGAGGCTACTGAGCCTACTGAGGATTTAAAGGATTTCCCCTGTCTAATAAAGAAAGTTCTTCTATTTGTGATTATTTTCTGTTGTTGACGGCATAGCAACAATTTCTATGATCATTAATCGTTAAATACCATGCAATGTAGAATCTACTCGTAGCACCTTCACCGGAAATAACTATCCCCCAGCAGTGATCACCGAGGGTATGTTGCCCAAAACGAATTTGTATATTCATTAATCTCCCAAAATGTCTCTAAGCTGTCCAATTAGGATGGTACCTGTCGCTTTATTCGAATGCCTAATTGTCGAATGTCTTGGCTATAGTCCAAACTCTCAGAAAAATCGTAATGTCGCTTGCATAAAACTCCGGGGATGTAAGTTCGGCAAAGATTCGGATCTTTATCCGTCAGGATTGTTCTACTTGGCACGAAACAACTGCAAATCGGATGTCTAAAGAATTCAGTGAGTGCAACATTATTTTTCACGTGTCCTCTTTTCGAGTTACCAAAGAAGATTTGACAATAAGCTGACCGTATTAAGTATTCTTTCCGATAAATCGTTTACCAGTATACGAGTATAGCCAATGGCCAGCATTAACAAACAGGAAAGATGTAATCATATCCAAAAAGCAAATTGCAAAAGTTTGAATGTGAAGTAAATCACCACCCACTGCATCCTCCGAACCTAGCGCCATCATATTTCCACTAGTTTCATTATTGATGTAGAAAGAATCTTAGTTAAGCTAAGCTCAACTTGCTTTTTGACTTCTTTTATATAAATTCCTGATTTTTTTTGCAAATGGCTGTTTGAGTTTGCCAAAACGTTGGAGAGAGACTATAGACTACATGTTCTACATACCATATGCTATAAATCTTTCTCACATAGATGATTTCATTAACTATTCACTCCATAAATACATACAACTCATTACAGCACATCGAATAAAACCTTTAACTGACGTCGTAGGTACCTGGGACCGCTGGCGATATTCGTTTCCAATTTTTCCCCACCACTATCTGTCATTCACGCGTATCCATCTTAATACCTTCCTATTAGTACAACAGCAGCGCTAGAGTAGTGTAGTGTTTATTTGAGCGTTAGTTTTTTCGTAATAAAAGAAAGTGGTCCGTGGCACCTAACAGCGGCTTAAGTGTAAAGTGTCTGGGTGTGTACAACATTTTTGTATTGTTAATAAAAATGGCTTCTGGACACGTTCCCGACAGTGTAAACTTTGCTGATTCCGATTTCGAAGCCAAGGTCATGCGCATGCTGGAATCACTAGACTTAGATGTGGAAATGTCCAACCAAGAAGATTACGTTGAAGAAAGTGAACATGATACCGATTTCGAATTAGATCTAGAACCGAATGAAGAGTTTGATCCATCCAATAATCAATCAGTACAAGTGAGTGACAACGACTCAACGGATAACGAAAACCCGAATTATTATTATGGTAAAAACCGTTTCAAATGGTCTTATACCGAACCAAAACGAAATATCCGAATTCCAGCACATAATATTTTAAAATTACCTGGAATTTGTGTTCCGCAAAATGAAAATGAAGTGTCTGATCCAGTTTTTGCTTGGAAATATAATTTCAACGAAAACATGTTGCAGCCCGTTCTAACATCGACAAATCAAAAGCTGATGCAAATAAGAGCCAAATATTCCAATCCACGTCGTACTGAACTAAAATGCTTCTTGGGCCTTTTCTGTTATACGGCGGTATTCAAATCCAACCATGAGGATATTTCTTCAATTTTCGCCACAGACGTGACGGGTCGAGAAATCTTTAGGTTGGCAACGTCAAAAAGACGCTTTTCAATATTATTGAACTGTCTACGATTCGATAATGCCGAAGATCGACACGAACGTAAACAAGTTGATCCAATAGCTGCTATATCCGAATTGCTAGATAGTTTTAACAGAAATTTGCAGGCTGCATATACGCTTGGAGCAAACGCTACTATCGATGAAATGCTAGTAGCTTTCCGAGGACGTGGCGGCTTTAAAATGTACAGAGTTTGTCCGGAAAGTAATAGGACTGAGTCGATTTAAAAAAATTTATTGAACCAATCGTTACAATTCTTTAAAAACTTTCAAAATAGGCTCCTCCTGCGTCGATGCAGCGCGGCCAGCTTGCCATGCTGGCCTTTCATCGGCATTTTCAGGCGAAGAAACAAAAAAAAAGTCCGGGGGAGGGGGCACATCAGCTGTAGTTCGGCTGCGGAAGCATTGGGATGCCGGCCTTCGTCAGGTGTCTTGTCGGACCCGACTGACCCTTCGTTTGAGTCTCCTGAGCACTTCCACGTAAAACTTGGCGTTGACGGTTTGTCCAGGACAAATTCATGGTGGACGATACCTTTGATGTCAAAAAAGATAATGAGCATCGTTTTCACTTTGGATTTGCTCATTCTTCCCTTTTTTTGGGCGAGGAGACGTCGTCGTGTGCCACTCGGAAGATTGCCTCTTTGTCTCGGGATCATACTCAAAGATCCAGGACTCGTCACCTGTGATTACGTTATTCAAAAATTGGGTGTCACTTTCACACATGTTTTCGGCACACTTCCACTCGCCGCAATTTCTGGTCGTCAGTGAGCACTTTTGGGACCATACTCGCGCACACCTTGAGCATGTTCAAATGCTGTGTCACAATGTCATGAACCACAGATTTTGGTAAATTTAACATCTGGGCAATTAAACGAATACTTAGTTGATGGTCTGAGTTCAAAGCTTTGCGCACACGAGTCACATTATCGGTGTTTGTCGAAGTCGAAGGTCTTCCAGCACGGTCTTCATCAGCGACCTCTTGCCGGCCCTCCAAAAAGGCCTGGTGCCACCGAGACACACTACTTCTTGCTAAATCAACACCTGGGTAAGCCTGCTTGATCATATCATACGTCTCGGTCGCAGATTTACCGAGTTTCACACAGAATTTAATCGCGTACCTCTGCCCAGCCGCTCATTCGTCAGCTAGGAACGCCCTCTACCGAATCCAGTCGGTGCGCGCACGCTCCGAAGTACAGTCATGGGGGAAGAAAATGAGTCCTATTACTTTCCGGACAAACCCTGTATATGCCATCCAAACCATCAAAATATGGTCTAAACATACAATGTCTAGCTGATGCAGGTACCTGTTATGTTTATAATACCTATTTATACTGTGGTAAAGGAAGTGATGGTATGTACCTATCTGAAGAAGACAAAAAGTATAATATTCCTACACAGGCCGTTATTCGTTTGTGCAAACCCATCTTTGGTAGCAACAGAAACGTAACTACTGATAACTGGTATACGTCATTGGAGCTTGCGAACGTATTGAACACAAACAAGCTTACTCTTGTTGGGACTATTAAAAAAAAATAATAAGGAAATTCTGCCAGAGTTCTTACCATCTGCAAGACGGCCAGTTGACTCTTGTTTATTTGGGTTTATAAAAAACTTGACAATGGTATCCTATGTTCCGAAAAAAAATAAGTCCGTCATTTTGCTGTCATCAATGCACCATGCAAGAGAAATTGACGAAAGTTCTAAATAACCAGAGATTGTGATGTACTACAATAACACAAAAGGAGGAATGGACTCAGTCGACCAAAAATGTAGTGTTTATTCAACTAGTCACCGCTGCAGATGCTGGCCCAAGGTCATCTTTTACAGAATACTAAATATGAGCTTCCTGAATGCATATATTATTCATCAATCCCATAGAAACATTAAAAAATCTTACACCAGGTTGGAATTTCTAAAAGTCTTAAGATGCGATTCCACCAGTGTGCTGAACTGTGCGGCACTCTAATGCGCAGTGTACAGCACAAATGTTTCTTCTGGTCGACTCACTCACGCAAACAATAGCAAATGGTGCGCAAACATTTCGGAAACGTTCGCGAACATCTGTTACTTTTGTGCGCGCGCACATGCAAGCAGTGGACTCGCGTCTTCGGGTACATACTTGTTGTTCGCGAACTCAGTATTGCTTCCGCTCCTGGACTGAAAACATTTGTTTGTACGCGCACTTCTTCTACGAAATCTAAAATGGACTGGACGAATGATAAGATTATAAAATTTATTCAAGCAATTGAAGCTTATCCTCTTCTATGGGATTCCAGTCACCATAATTATAAAAACACGACGCCACTCAAGAGTTGGCTCAAAGTTTCAATTGTGACTCGACTGAGGTAATGAGAAAACGGAAAATTATTTTGGCTCAGTACCGAAGAGAAAAGAAGAAAATAGCGAATTCAAAATCTTCAGGTTCTGGGTTTTCAGATATATTATTTGTTATTTTATATTGTTTTAAGATGTAATGTTACTTTCTTTTGCAGTCGTGCTAGACAAATTTGATTTTGAAATCACCTGAAAGGGTTATGTGTTTGAATTATAATAGTATTTGTAAGTTTTGTTACATATTTTTATGTTCTATTTCGGAGTTAAAATGTGTTCTGCGGGAGCGCCTTAGATAGTTTTATAAGTTAGGCTCTTGCAATATTTCTAATTTAAGATGTTGGCCTATAAATGGAATATTATCTGTTGGGCAATAAAAGGTATAAATAAGCCTTGTTGAAACAGGGACATATTTTCTGTAGTTGGTGTCTTGCTTTGCAATATGAGGAGGGAGTGCATTGACCAGCAACTCAAAATCTTCACACGACATAGGAGTAACATTTTTAAACCCACTTAAGGGATCTACTTTTATTTCTTCTACAAATCTATTCGTTTCTTCATTCTATCGCTGCAGAAAAGGTCTCACCCAACATCGTGGTTTTCTTCTTCGTTTCTTTTTAAGCAGACTACCTATTAAAACACAAGCTGCGGCACAAAACTCTACATATTCCCGCCCATCCATATTAAGAACTGAAGTTAGTGAGAACTTTGCTTGGTAAACATGTTCGTGCACAAGTGTGCTACACTGTACGCTTACAAAAGTTATGCACTGCTTTGCCGGTGGACACAGAAGATAAATTCGATACCAGTGAGCACATTCAATGCTGGAGTTTCACACAAAATGTTTGTAAACAAATGTGCTGAACACTATTTTGGTGGAATCGTACCATTAGCTAAACAATTATACATGAACGAACGGTTGCAACACGGAAGACTATCATATGAACTGAGATCTTCAATTGCACGAGCTTTGGGATATCAAGATGTTCCGCCAGAAGAGGACCATGGTGTCGACAAGTTGGCCAGGAACGAAAGAAAAACGTGCCACATCTGTCCCTCAAAGAGGAAAAGAAAATCCGTATATTTATGTTGTACTAGCAAGAAACCAATCTGCCTAGAATTTTTCAAAAAAATATGACGTAGCTGTGTTAGTAAAGACTAGGTGTTCTTATAAAGTAATTTGTAGATTACAGTAAATTCTGTTCCTTTTTGCTCTGCACGTTTTTTTTTTTGGATGTTATAGTGCTTATATTTGTGCAAAATAGCTTTTTAGGGTGTATATGATAAATAATTTTCAGTTTTAATGTTTTTTAGTTATTTATAACTACAATAAATAAGGTTGGTAAATTAATATACACAAAACTGTATGCTACAAAAGTTAAAATAAATGTTTTAGTCGGACTTTACAGATTTTTTTAAATATAATACATAAATAAGGACTCAACCTATAGTATATTCCAAGAAAATAGTGTTTCTTAAAACAGTAATCGAAAATATATTTTTTTTTATTTTGCGGTCCCACGGACCACTTGACGGCGATTGTGCACAAAATAGTCACGACGTCGGTTGAGGGTTAATATCGATTTACTTACAATTTCGCACGTGTGCTTCAAGGCTACATGCAGAAGCAGCTAATCAATGGCGCTTACAACCAGTACGTAGTAACAAAATCTATACAAAATCTGCAGAACATTTGATGAGGTATCCAAGTCATCAGCAACTAAATCACCAAACGTCCAGTTATGAACACAGGTGTATTTTTATGACAAATTACTGCACTCATCTTGTATATTGAAAAACTTAAATGACGGACATGACTGATTTCTACGTTGAAACGTTGCCGTGAAAGCAGTTGAAAATGTCTGAGATATCCTCATTATTAAGTGAGACACAAAAGTTATCTTTTAAAAAATGGCGTCAAGTAGGGTGAGTCTACACTGCCGACGCAACGTTGGCATGCTCGGCACAAGTTAGTCCCTCTGAACTAGCTATCAACATGTATAACAAAAAAATTAAATGGAATAAGTCAGCCAAACGGGCCCCCGCATTTAGTCCGTACTCCAAAGAGCCCAACCCGTTTGACAACGCCAACGCTAGTTTATTCTCAGCTCTAAGTAGCGACCATCTGGCAACGATGGTAAACCACAGTAGTAACAACAAGTCGCGTATACAAATATTTCCAAGTTTTACGCGCAAATGTTCGGGGAAAAAAAATATCCTGCTGTCAAAAAAATTATATATACCATCATCTATTCCCTACAACCCCCAATTCCCGATTTTCGACCCTTAAAA